GTAAATGGCAGATCTGACAGTTGTCTCTCTCTCTCTCTATATATATATATATACATAAATACATATACAAGTTTGCTGAAACTTGCAAGTTTGTGTGTATGAATGTTGTTTGTTTGCTTTTGAAAAGACATAAATATATATGATATAACGTCACAGAATCTATTTTTGAAGTATTTCTCTTTTAGACCTAATTCGCGCATAATGGTAAAACATAATATAAAGATAATAACATACTAAGATGTGTAGGCTCTAAGAACATTTCAGGCAGAAAATTAATAGTAGTTATTTAACTTCGACCGAACGGGTTGACTTGAAACATCATTAATAAAACAGTTGCACGGCAACCTTTCAACTCAACAAGTAGTAACTATTATTCATTTAGTAAGCCTAATTTTGTTCTTTATAAAGAAATAAAGGACGATAATAATGATAACCTAGTAACTTATTTCTCACAACTTATATTACGATGGATATATAACGATGTGTTTTAGAACAAGTCATATTTTATGAACACAATTTTCACGCAAAAAAGTAAAAACAGAAGGATAAAGTACCAGGTGTAAATATAATGGCATAAAAATAAACTGCTATCGTTTAGCTTAAACACAGTTATGTATATATAAAAAAACATGGTAAGTCGTTATTCTCAATCTTTCATTTATTAACAATAATCTTCATCACTCAATTGAGGAAAAAATTCAAGCAACTGAATAATTTATATACATATAAATTATGTGAAGTCTTAACAGCGATGTATGCTTCAAATTTGTCGTCATTAAATTGTTATATTATTTATGTTAGTAATTTACATAAATAGATAGATAAATTATATGTACTTGAAAAAAGTCAGATTAATGCTGAAAGGTGCACTATTTCATCACTCGAAACTAAAACAGAAAACGTCACAAAGCTGGCGAGTTTTACAAATCTCTCTCTTGATATATATACGAAGTTCACAAAATAGGGTAAGCGACAGTAAATAAATAAAGCAAGCGACAGTAAAGAAATAAACAAGAAATAGAGCAAGAGTCAGTAAAGAAATAAACAAGAAATAGAGCAAGCGACAGTAAAGAAATAAACAAGAAATAGAGCAAGCGTCAGTAAAGAAATAAACAAGAAATAGAGCAAGCGACAGTAAAGAAATAAACAAGAAATAAAGCAAGCGCCAGTAAAGAAATAAACAAGACTCTCTCCAGCAGTGGTAATCTTCCTATTAGAGAAGCACCCTCACAGTTTCACGAGGAGACGTGAAACTGTGACATAAATACGATATCTGTCAGCCTGTCTTAGCTCTTGTCAGTTCACTACGGCCTCCAGATCAAGTTAAGATACCATAATTACCGGTAAATTATTCTAACTAAACATTGTTTCACTGCGAGCATTATCCTAGTTATAAATATGCTCTTAAATCAACATATTGGGAATGTAGTGAAAAGTTGTACTGTTTCTTTAGATCGACAGATCGCTCGTAAATAAAATCACCGTTGCAGTAAGGAATTTGGATCGGTATTGATTGTCCAGACTGTCTGGTTCACATGCACCTGCAATTCCTTGGTTTTTAACTATTGTAGGAGAAAAGTTAACATGTCTAGACATAACAATATATCACAAAAACAAATACAGACACAAGGCATTATTTTCTTTTACGCCATGCATAATCTATCAACAATATGTAAAATGTAAAGGACTGAAATAATAATGAATAACAATACCATTTTCGTTAGAAGCGGAATAACATTTACAATGATGTCTCGTGAATCTAATAAAAGCACAGGTGACTTTCACTACAGTTCACAAACACGTACTATATAGCCTGTAAAGGTTAATACAGCACATCGGCACATGGCGAGTCTCGAACTCGGTTAACGGGCTATATAAAGATTAATTTCTCGCATTTATCTTAAACAGATGCCTGAAACTAACTAAAATAATTTCCCATATAAAGAATGTGTCTATATTATTGTTTATTTTAAGCTCTAAATCAATGAAATTAAACTTACCTGTACATATGTGATTTTGCGATTATTAAAGTTATGTACGAAACAACACAAGTTGGCTATGGTTTTATTAATCCTTCAGTTGCACGTGTCTCGGACTTGATTTCTATGCAGTTACAGATCACAGATGTTGCATGTTGTTATTATTGTCTTGAGTATCGACAGACTCAGGTTGTTTCCTTGTTCGAAAAATTCATCTTACTAATTATAACCACAAATATTTTAAAGCTTACGCCGTCAAGGAATGACTATAAACACTTCAGTGTTAGAATAAGACTAACTGCGTACTTCGCAAGGCATTTATTTCCTGTCATGATAACTGCCACTTCAGTATCAAAAAACAACTACAGAAACAATTAGGGCCTTACTTAAAAACTTAGCACAATAATACGTATAAGAACGGATGTAAGTTTATAGATTTATTTTTTACACACTGTGTACGTTTCATGGTATATATCTAAACTCATCAACACTCTGTGAACAGCTTTTAACGTATTAATTCATACAGGTATGTTTGTCAGAGTTCTCAGAGTATTTCCAAGCCAATTTATTCTAAATCACACACACAAGTGAATATATACAGAATAGTACATTTAAAATAATATGGGCGCTGGGGTATTGTTAAAATGAATGGGGGTATTGTAAAGATGTATGGGGGTATTGTTAGAATGAATGGGAGTATTGTAAAGATGTATGGGGGTATTGTTAGAATGTATGTCGAACCACTACTTTGGTAAGTAACATGGCTTCCTCTGTTTCATATGGGCAATGCTTATTTAAAAAGTTTTGATTCTACCAGTTAAAGTACTATAGAAGAACTCTTAAGCTTGTGGTATTTGGAAAATCTACAGAACTGATTATTATCTCCAATTTGAGTGTAAAAATCCTCATTATTATAACTTATTTTGGTCCTATTTAATTTCAGATTTGATCGTTAAAAATCCAGATTAAAAAGTATACATTTCTTTTCAAAACTTGTAGTCTCGAAAATTCTATTTGTCTCTTCTCAAAGACCTAATTCAGCATGGACAGTGATACGATAAAAACAGAAAAAAGCTACTAGTATTTCATTCTATATACATAGTATAACCACATTTCCAAAAGCAAACTAAACATGTGAAAACAAAAGCCTAGTCACAATTTTAAAGCATTCCCTAAGGATCTATATAACATTTTCAAGAGGTATGAAAACATCATCATTATCCAATTTATATTTGATAAAATGCAACCTTAGTTATATTTACATGTCTGCATATATGTACACATACAAATTTATATAATTTTTCCCGTTGTCATGTATATATATATATATATGTATATGTGTACATGTTTAAATATTATACATATATATATATATATACATTGTTACTTTGGATATTACTAGTGCTCACCAAAGCTGTAATCTTAAACATCGGGAGTTTTTCAAATATATTGTATTACCGAAATTAGAAAATCACAGTATTTAATAACATTTTAATCTGATGTGCCCAAGTGCCATATCTTTACCGAGATACCTTATATTACACATAATTTAACATGTAGACCTGCAGTTACTGATAAGTCCATTAATTTATCTCAATGAACAAGAAATATAAGAACAAAACCCATAAATGGCCAATGCAGCAGTAGAACATGCTACATGCAAAATTTGGAGAGAAAATGTCAACATTTTGTAGCATGAAAAAGAAAGCTGAAATTATGCATGTGATTTACAATAAAAAACCAACAAATAAAGATAAAAGCGTTGGATAAAGATTGTTGTTATATATTTTAGAATTACACCTAATGATATAACTGTGGCAATTGCACGATTTTAAACTTTGAAACACGTTCTAGGTTTAAGTAAAAAAAATACTAATACACTACCTGTTTCAAGCCACTTTACCGGGAAAAAATGAATTTAAACTTGCTAAAAAAATAAACATTTTTGGCCCTACATATATAAACAAAATATATAAAAAACCATAAATAATTAATAAGAAAAATAAAATTTGGACGATTTTTTTCTTCAATAAAGACAATTACTATAGCCGTTTATAGGTGAACAAGTTTAAACAGTACAAAATTAAGGTTCCTTACTTTATTCTGTGAGTACTAACGTACGTTAATGCTATGTAACATTCACTCATTTCTTTCAATACAGTTTCAACGAATAAGGTAGTTTCTGTCTCATTAACTATCTGTAAAATGATATAGCTAATACTTTGCTAAAAACTTAAGCTTCAAAGAATCATATCCGTAAGGGTTATTTTCCTAAAATATTTGAACCATTAAAAGGACCATAACCACGCATTGCAGGCACTATGGTTGAAAAGCAACGAGTGATGTGGTTTGGAAATAATAGATGAACTATAACCTAAACGTAGTTAAAGAAAACGAGAAAAATATCGCGAGTAGCTAAACTCTTTGATTTACCAGACTTATTCTCTTCTTTTTCTATTACGAGAGTATTTTTTTTTCCTCGGTGGCTCAGCGGTAAGTGGCTCTAAAAATAAGGTCTCAATACCCAAGGTGGGCAGAGCAACGACAGTTCATTTTATAACTTTGTGCTTAACAACAAACGAAAAAACAACAACAACATAAGTACAAAAATTACATACACACACATATATATATAGTACATTTAACATGAGTTGTAGCAAATGAAGCCATGTTTCTTAGAAAAATTGGCAAGTATCCTCAACGAACAGACAATCTGAGGAAACCATACCTTTTAACACACTCACTGATCGATTTAAAAATAATACAAAGAAATAAGCTACAATACAAAGAATTAACATAAAACAAATACAGAACAAAATACGCATGAAACTTAACAAAAATAATACACCCTGAGTTTTAATGCTGAACGAACAGAGTTAATCTATTCAAAGAGGAATATCACTTAAAATGTTTGTTTAGAAGTTCAGATAATGTATTGGCCTAAACCAGAAAAAAAAAGAATATACGTATTTGAATTTTTTGTTTGTTTACATTTTAAAATAAAATGACAATTTTGCCGTACCTTACATTTGAATAATAACATATTCATAAACTTATAAATTAAGTTATAAAAGCGCGAAGATATTCCTCACTGTATTTATATTCAAGTATAATTTTCTCATTTTTAAGATTCTTGGTTCCGTCGTTTTGATACTCCCTCTTAGAAGATTACCTTCACTTACCAGCGAAGTGCACAGATTAGTAGAATCTCCTTATAGTCTCTGGTAGCAAAATCAAAGTGTTGAGACAGAAAGGATTATGGATATTAATTACGTACAAACGCCAGTGAGTTGTAGAGTAAATCAATGAGCCACAAAATTAGTTGCAGAACTCAAACATCTAACGATCACACTCTTTGTCATTGATTGGGTCAAAGCTCTGTTAATCCATAGTGACTTTTACATCCAGTATGTAGTATTTCACTGTTTTAGGGATTTGTTATATTTATTGGATCCACCGTGCGTCTATCTTGCCGCGAAGGAAGGTGACTCGCAAGCGGACTGAGAGTGGGTCTAACACCGGGCGATGTTGAGAGACCGTGGTGAAGGTTCTCGACCTGCCGACTAATTTTTCTCACATTTTTTGTATTCGGTAGCTTGTTGTCTTTCTTCCACTTCATACGACGGTTCTGAAACCAAATTTTAATCTGACGCTCTGAAAGGCAGAGTGCATGGGCAATCTCAATTCGGCGACGTCGTGTCAAATAACGGTTAAAGTGGAACTCTTTCTCTAACTCCAGAACCTGATGTCTAGTATAGGCTGTCCGCTGGCGCTTAGTTTCTATCCCTGATGAAAAACAACTTCCATTTGCTAAAACAGCAAAAGTAAAAGAAAAAAAAAGAAACTTATTAAGCAAACAAATGAAACATTTTACTGTGTATGCGGGGAAAAAATGGATGTGATTTTACATTGGGAGACATTCGAATGTCAAATGAACATAACAGATAGTTGTACTTCTGTCGCACTTACAGAGATAAGATGAAAATAGCAAATCTTAGAAATACCATTGAGATTCATCTACTTTTTAAATCACGTTTTTCTAAACTATTTATGCACCAAACTGCTTGTTCGTCAAGGCCCTTAATGATACAAAAATATCATCAATATTGCAATTAATTTCAGTAATTAACAATGGGGTCTCCTATGTATTTTGCGTAGAAAATAAGTGACTTTGTCAAGTCTTTTCTATCAGTTCCTTACATTAACTACTGCAACAGCCAATAACATAAAGATACTTAATACGGTATAACATGTGGATCTCTATGGTAATGAACGGTATATAAACAAGTCGTTAATTTGAGAGATAGGAGGATTTTTTGTAGAGCAAAGTTAGAAGAATCTATAATATTCAAGAAAAAGTTCACCTGTGTGAAAGAAAAGGACAAACCAGTAAAGAGAAGAAAAAAGGTTATACCTTGTGAGAGAAAGACACTGACCAGTATATAAAAGAACAAAGGTTACACCTTGTGAGAGAAAGACACAAACCACTATATAGAAGAACAAGGGTTATACCTTGTGAGAGAAAGACACAAACCACTATATAGAAGAACAAAGGTTATACCTTCTGAGAGAAAGACACAAACCACTATATAGAAGAACAAGGGTTATACCTTGTGAAATAAAGACACAAACCACTATAGAGAAGAATAAGGGTTATACCTTGTGAGAGAAAGACACTGACCAGTATATAGAAGAACAAAGGTTATACCTTGTGAAATAAAGACACAAACCACTATAGAGAAGAATAAGGGTTATACCTTGTGAGTGAAAGACACTGACCAGTATATAGAAGAGCAAAGGTTATACCTTGTGAGAGAAAGACACTGACCAGTATAGAGTAGATCAAAGGTTTTACTTTGAGAAAGAAGGGGACACACTAGTACAAAGTTATACCTTGATTTTGTTTGTTTGTTTAAGAGCAAAGCCATGTTGGGCTAGCTGCTGTGTCCACAGCGTGGAATAGAACTCCAGATATTAGTGTTGTAAGTCCTTAAACTTACAGCTGTCCCACCAATGGTCTATACCTTGTGAGAGAAGGGGGACAGTATGGAGAAAAACAAAGTTTAAACAACGAGTTTTCTGAATTGATTTATATCGTTTCAAACTGTGTAGACAGTGACGTCACAACTAAAGAAAAGTCACGCTAGCTGGTAATTTATTACCCTGGTGGTTATTTATCGTTTTTACGCACGTTACCCCTTATCATAACATTGTGTTTAAGTAATCATTTCAAACTGAACAAATTACGTACCTGACCCAAGATGAACTTTCTTCATCCAGGGGTAGATTGTCGGTTGTACTTCAGGGGAATTTACACATTCTGGAGACTCGCTTCTCAGAATTGAAGAGGAATTCTTGACCGACGAATCTCTATTGTGAATACTGGTTAATGGTTGGACTTGTAGAGAAGGAACTGGTGCTGTTTGTAAAGTATCTTCTGGTGGTGGTGGAGAGGACTCAGGAGATGCATCACTGCTATAAGGAGATTGTCCTAGTCCGTGGGGAGTAGCATTAATTTTCCGAACTCGTACGCTCGTTACACAATTTATGGAGGAGCCTAGATTTGTAAGCTTTTCAAGTGTTGATATACTGTTCTGAGACATTGAACATGATGCCGGAAAGACAGAGTTAGCAGGACCGTGATTTGTGTAAGGGGCTGTTCTAGCTCCACCGGTATTAAGGTCATAATTTATCGGCGCGTGCTGAGTGTCAGCGCTATGGAACTCGTCATGATGCTGCGCTTGTGGAGAGAAATAGCTTGTGCCATGGCATGGAATGTAGCTAGCTTGTGCATATTCTTCGCAAGGTGGAAATTTTGGCTCCATAAACGGTTGTGAGTTCATCAAAAACGAGCTCATGATCATTAATTTTTGAATGAGTTGGATGGAAATAATTTTCGTTCGCGTATGTCGTTTAACAGGGCTTAAACTCCGCCCTTTTGAGGAAATTACCATATCACATGGCCGTAGTAAACCAGTGATATGTCTAACCACTGAACGGCCGTTGGGACGTCACGAGAAAATATGACAGAGACGTATTATTTCAATATGGCGGCTGTTTTTGTGGTTATGGCTTTGTACGATTGACAAAGTTCAACTTCACAAGTTATAACTTTAATACAACTGAAAGCTTAAGTGTAAAATGCATTCAGATAAAGATGTATTAGCGTGAGGAACTTCTATCAAGACTGAAGTAAGAAATGTCAGTATACTGAAAGAACACTAACAAGTAAACACCACTGCTAGCTTTCTATTTAAATAATCGGCCAATTGAGCTTTACTGAATCCCATTGAAGTACAAAACGATTAGGAGTTTGTTATATTTGGATGAGTAATAGCATTTGAAGTTTGAAACTACTAAGCCCTTTGGAGTTCTGGGAAACTGTTGGTTTATAGTGCGCATGATCAAGATAATTCCCTAACGCAGGTGAGTTTCTATTTATATTTTTTATATTTATGTGAGATCATTACGGAAAAACTTCATAACTGCATTTATTTCTTAAAAAAAAAACATCCATTAAGAGCAAATTGTGGGAAGAGACCCTGCTACACACTCTTTTGGAAGGAAACGTGTAGGTTTTTCTCTATTCAATGTAAACGCCGTCGTGGTCAGATAAGTGAATTTATAATTGATCTTACATGCTGCACGTATTTTAGAAAATTTCTGATTACTTCATGTTTCCTAATACCGTAATTTGGTGTTGAATAAACATAACATGATTTATACAGGAAATTGTAGTGCTTACTTCTGATAGTTTATTAGAATTATTTTGAAAACTTATTAGGATATTGTAATAATATGTAATGTTTTAAAAGACCTCTAAGCTTATTATAAGATACAATGTACATCTCTTATTCCTATCTAAAAATATACCTAAACGAAATTTAGAGTTAAATCAGCAAGTGAACAAAGCAAAAATCAATTAAGAATGTTTTTATGAAGTCAATTACAGTAATCAGTCTTCCCTTTTTTTCCTTCCCAGGTATTTTATTACCAATAAACTTCAGTCTAAATACCATTTTCACAATTTGTAATCTGCTTTCTACAAAAAAATCGATCCCTACTTTTAAAATTTAATGATATTTACTAGACTGTTGGACAACAACTTTGATACTTAACTGTAGAAATATATAAAGTTATTATACTTATGTTGTTTATATATATATATTGCTTAAACGTAAACCTATATAAATATACAACATTAAACCTGATGTATTTTATTGAGTTACTGTAAAACGTTAATCCTGATGTACATAATTTTACTGAGTTACTGTAGAGTGTAGAACATTAAATCTGATGTACTTAATTTTAATGGGTTACTGTACCACAGTAAACCTGGTGCATTTATTTTACTGGGTTACTCTACAACATTAAACCTGGTGTACTTAACTCTACGGAATTACTGTACAGCATTAAATCTGATATACTTAATTTTACAGAGTGGGTTACTGTAAAACCTTAAACCTGACGTACTAAATTTTATTGAGTTACTATACATCATTAAATCTAGTGTATTTCATTTTACTGAGTTGCACACATGTTCAGTTTTATACTTTCTTTTTGTTTATCTTTCGTTTGTTTCATAAATAATTGTTCTATCTTTTGTTTATTTATGCACCATTGTGACTCTATAGTAAACATCAGTCATGATGAGAACAATATGCAAAAATAGTTCAAGTTAATTTATGGACACATACATATTGTAATTTTATTTTGCAAAATAATAGTGAATGATAAAATGATAAATAAAAATTAATGGATGTTTGGTGTTACCATTAATAGGCATATTTATTTATCTGTATATCAAAAGAAATATCAAACAATGTTTTATTATGGAACAATGGATAGTTGTTAATATTTGATCATTAGTTAGAATTTATAACAATAGTATAGCTGTGAGACAAACATTATGATATTAGAGTGTCTGTAGGAGGATATGACAAGCCTTGTGCATACAGAACGCTCATAACACAATCAATAAACTGTTAGAGTCTTTTGTGCACATGTTAAATAATCATCATTACTGTATATATAATGTAAAAGTGCTCAGTAAATCTTATTAATAATATATACTGTCATTCTATATAAATTTTTTCATGTTAATCTATCAATTTGTGTAGTATTAAGCCATACATATATATATTATTTGAAATCTGTAAAAAACCTGAAATGAGGAAACATCATCATTAACTATGGTTAGAACCGAATTATGAAGTTAAACCTTAAGGAGGTAGGACATTATTCATATTATCTGCACTTTGTTTTCTGTAAAAGATTATTGATACTTTGTCCTAAATACAAACAGACATTTCGACTTAAAACGTAAACACATCTTTATGTAATATCGATGTAATAATAATAATATTTCTGAAGTATGGTAAATTATGTTATTTCAACTTTTAAACTAGTTTAAAGTTTATTGCACAATTTCCAGATACAAATGAATAGTCTATTTTGTCTATGTATTATGTATTTATTACTGAAATTTAACTCCATTATTACCATACCTATTTTTACAGGAATCTTTACTAATTAAAACCAAGGCGGATTATAACGTTTTTAGTAATTGCTTTTTTAGTTAGGTTTTGTGGAAACCAAGTCGAATTTTTCTTAAATGCATTTATCTCAGTAGCTAGATCCTTTCATTACTATCGACTGACTGACTTTTATCAGAAGTCTTATTCAGAGAATCAGACATTCACCTTGGCTGACCTAGCAGCAGCGTCAACAAGAGAGCTACAGTAGCTGATTCTATCCAGTTAGTTGTGGTCAGGAGGATGAATAGGTCCCTGAGGACCCATTTACGCTGTATCTTCTCTGGATCCGAGCTTCCAGCAAACAGTGAAAACTTCAATCTTGTTTCACGCCCTCTTTGTGTGATTAATCCTTTGGGATAGGACCTATACAGTCATTTGGATAGTTAAAAGTCAAGCTAAGTCAGTGATGCCTTCATTTGACTATGAAACGTAAATCGCCTAATTGATTTTTAAGTGTTAAGTAATTAAGTAATTTTATTGAGGCTTAGACCATACTAATCCAAACTTTGAAATGTGTTTCATTCTCCTGTTTAAACTTTTAAAGAACTTAAGAAATATGAATTTGAAAACATAACGTATGAGTATGTATGTGTGTGTACATATATGTATATATATATAAGACAATTGGCAAATAAATAAAGTAAAACATAATACGTGAGTGATTTTTTATACTTCTAATAGTAAGAAAACGACGGTTGACTTGAGAGACAGCACTAATAAAACTGTTAAATGTGATAAAAAATCTGTTAAAGAGAGAGTTCTGAGATGCTCCACAGAGATTCGTTCTGCAATGTTATAGTCGTTATTGTAGATTCCATTGCTCTCATTTCAGTGTTATCTTCATGAAAAGCAACGAGCACACTTCCTTGATAGCACACGTTCTAAGGAACTATTGAAAAATAGCTAGGTAGCTTACAGACGTTTTTGTCTCCACTATATAAGTTGTTATCTGTCAAAGGACCGTCTGCAGCCAAATACCGATTTATATTTAAGCCGCTTAAAGAAACATTGACAGCTTAATTGATATGCTTGTCTTCTTGAAAATGGGAACGGGTTTCTACACTTGTCTGCCAAATGGCAAGAACGAACAATTTAATGTGTCTGTAACAAAATTAGTAATGACTATTTAACTGCCTTATTTTTTTCTTCTTCTTCTAAATCGAATATATATAATTTGAAGTATGCATGATTATACACTTTGAACTGTCATCATTCTGGTTTCAGTTGATATGTTTACGTGATATGCGTAGCTTTCTCACCCAAAACTGAAGAAAAGAAATACATATTAGTGTGAGAAACGTGTTTTAACTGATTCTACCTCAATGTTGGAGATAGTCTGGTTTAGAAGGTTATTACTCAAATGTTTTGTTACTTACACATCGTCCCCCAGTGGGTCAGCGCTAAGTTCACGGACTTACAACGCCAAAATTCAAGGTTCTATACCCTGCGATGGACAGTGTGTAAATAGCCCATTGTGTAGCTCTGTGCTAAAAGACAAACTGTCGCATCAGCAAATAAAATAAACTAAAATATAATGTTTTCTAAAAGGCTTTGTTTACATACTAAACTCAAGAGATTTTAAGTGTAAAATATTTGACCCCCCTTCTCGTTGACAGTGGTGCTGGCTTAATCGCATTATCTATTTTTATACTTTGTCGATCCTGTTTTCAATAATTCTTATCTTATTATACTGGAGCTTGTGATATATACTTTCAAAACTCGGAAACTACCGCACCGATCATCACCAATCAAAACTGGGTAATATTTTTTATAACTAGGCAGGATTTTTATAGCTGAGCAATAAATAAAACAATTGAAATTAACAAAATAACAAAAAAAAATTCAAATATAAAACAATCAAAAAACAAACTTAAAAAATGATGTGTTTTTCTTTAGTGTTTGTTTGTAATTAAGCACAAAGCTACACAATGTGC